AAGATATGGGAAATTTCAGCATCTGCTTGGTGATAAATACAAATGATACAATCCTGGATTCATTGCATAATACAGGTTTCTACCTAGTAAACCTATTGAAAAAGTTTCCTGGGAAGATCTGAATGGGAGAAGGCTGAGTTGGTTATGATCCCAGGTAGGTGACAAAGATCTTCCTTCAGTGAAACTATAAGCAGTTAATTCAGCTAAAGAACCTCAAGGACAAATTCAGAAGTTTTTGCTGTCAGTCAAATTTTGACCTAGAATGCGTACTCATTCTTTCATGCAATGATTTAGTTCTTCGTCTTCTGTCAGGGATAGAGCATACCTAATATTGGGTATACATATCTGAATGTGAAACTTAAATATAGTTCAATGTTCAATGAAATAAAATGCTATACATTCCTCTATCATGACCAGGATTATCAATTTGGAATGACCAAGATATTACAATAGTTGCCTCTTTATGCTGGCTAATAAAAAGCTTAAGACCTAACTTGCAGCCATTACTTGCAACTATAAGATTTCACGGATGTATTTTGTACTGGCTTCACTTCTTGATGCATTTGACTTATTATTGATTGATTGATTGATTGATTGAACTCAGGGGCACTCAAACACTGAGCCATGCCCCTAGCCCTATTTTGAATTTTATTTAGAGATGGGTTTTCACTGAGTTGCTTAGTGCCTCTCCATTGCTAAGGCTGGCTTTGAACTCAAGATCCTCCTGCCTCAGCCTATGGAGCCATTGGGATTAAAGGGTGCATTTGATTTCTTACTGTATCTTTCCTCCACCTAGCTTTTAACTTGTTTCAAATTATATTTTATTTTATTATAATGCATTAATTTTTATCAGTCATATGTAGAGACAAATTTATATCTAAAGATCCCCAGCATTATGCACATTCTATAAATGCTGTCACATATTAGTTGTCTAGAGGTTAATTTCCTCAGAGTGGACAAGAAACAATGAGGATCTTCTAATAGGGAAACATACAGTTGATGATTTCTAGAGAGTGGGTAAATTTCCCCCCACTTTACAAATTGTGTCTTCCTGCCAAAATGCTAGGATGTTTTACATAATCCACATTACCATTATAAAATAAAGAAAAGCAAGAAATTAGACCCTTTTCTAATCTTGCTAGTTTTATCTAGCAAGTTTTGTGCAGAAGCAAATTAATAACAGATAATTCCAGCTATGGAAATACAGTTGAGTCTGCTTGTAGGCAGTGGGCAGAGGGAAACCATCTTCAGAAATTACTTTGAAAACTCTGATTTAGGGAAAATCCACTTTGAGTTTGTCACGGATCAGTATGGAATAAAAATGGGATACAGAAGACAATGAATGAATAAGATGATGGGAACCTAAGAAGAGAGAGAGTTCAGGCAGACCCAGGTTGAGATATTGTTTAATTAGTCCCATGATGCAGGAGAGCTGGAGATCAGAAATTCATCCTTGCCATCTATCTTTTGTTTCATGGTGCCACTTCGTCATTTTCAACAAACTCTTTCTATTGTAATTATTAAATCATTATCCCTGGAACATACTTCCTGCCAAGACTCTCCTGTTCAGAGCAGAGAGGTAACTTCCTTTGGGACCTGTGATGTCTACCAGCTCTATTTAAAGTTTACTTTTCATCTTCCTGCACATTTTTATTCATGTTAGCTTTGAGAATGAAAAATCATTCTTTCTGATGCATTGTGCTCGACTTTCTTCCTCTTTCTCCTTTCCTATCTCATATCTATAGCTCTTCCATTGGGGAGATCCTAATTTAAACCTCATTAATTTCATTCATGTAACCAGGGGTCTGCAATGTGACCAGTCTCTTAGGTAGGATATTGGCACTGCCAGAAATCTGGTGTCTGTGGTTGAGGATTTTATATGGTTTGTGATATGTTATGCAGAATAATCTATTATATATATATATTTTTTTTCATAGATAGTATATAGAATCTTCACATATGCTACCCTAGGAGAAGAAATGGAGTCAGACAGTCTATTACACTAATCTCAAATCAGTAATGGAGTCAAGAGGCTGGGCAAAGATCAGAATTGCCTGAAATTTCAATATCATATTAAATATTTAAAAACAAGTCTGTTAACTATTATAGGGGAAAATATCTTCAGTCCCATTCCTTTTAATCCAATCCTTAATTTATAGGTCAAGCTCTCTGATACACTGTAAGGAAATTATCCACATTGTCTCAGTGTAATTTCTCCATGTTTACCAGCTTTCAGAAAACACCCTGCCGGAAAGTTGGCTGACAGAAGGGCCAAGGTGTCAGTCAGTCTCACACCTGCAGGCTCTTGCCTGGAGCTTAGCTGTTCAGCTTTGTTCCATTTAGTGGGTGTTGCAGATATGACTTCAGTGAGTTGAAAGACAGATATGGAAGCAGGCTATAGATCTCCTACTATCTAATTTCCTAGTACCTGATTGGAAATCCTAGAATAACAAATATATTGATGCCTTTTCAATTTTTCCTGATAGAAAACATTGAAATGTCACTTTATGATGATCCTGGGGGTTTTATGCCTTTTTAATGACAAAGTCATCTAGTATGTATTTTCCCTTGGAACTGCTTTAGACACACAGATTTCCATTTTAGCACACAGAGTAAAAGAATTTTAAATGTGTGTAAAGAGAAATCACCCAAGGACTAAAGAAAATTCAATAAAAAAGGGTGCATTTTCTATCAAAAACCGTCTTATGAAAGATTTACTACTATAATGATGGAAGTTTGGAAGGTCATTAAGAGATTTTTGTCTAGATGATTTTCAGAAAGTAAACAAGGTTAAGACTCTTTTATTATTATTACTTTGGGGAACAGGTATTGAACTCAGGGGCACTTGACCACTGAGCCACATCCCCAGTCCTGTTTTGTATTTCATTTAGAGACAAGGTCTCACTGAGTTGCTTCACACCTTGCTTTTACTGAGGCTGGCTTTGAACTCAAGATCCTCCTGCCTCAGTATACTGAGCTGCTGGGATTACAGGTGTGTGCCACTGCACCCAGCTAGATTCTTTGATTTTGAATGTAATTTTTAAATGAACCAGGCAGGCAATGGAGCAGCTTCTAGAAGGCAGAAACTTGGTAGAGTGGGAGTGGGGGTGCCTGGGATTAGCAGCTCCTTCAAAATGTCCTGAGAGCTAGGAAATCTGGCTGTACATAAGTGTTCAGTTACCCTTGGGTGGGGTCGAATCTATTGTGTTGATTTACTTCCAAATCATTTAGGTTGACATAGCTATTGAAGATCTGTTTTGGAGAATTCCCATTTCTGATTCCACTTCTGATCTAAGTCCAACCTTTCCTTTCTGTGTCTTTTCAAGTTTTTTTTTTTTTTAAATTTGAATGGAAACATCTCACCTAGGTTTCTGAAAATTCAAGTCTTCATCCTTCTTAAGTAATCAGAAGCTACAACTGCTATGTATTGTTCCAGGCATGGATATTCCCAGTGTGGTCCTAGAAGAGCTTTGACAAAGAGAGTTGAAATCAAAGGCATGAATTAAAGGAGTGTGTTTTTCTGTAAAGTGCTAGAGTCACTCTCTGGAAATAATAACACAATTGTATCTTCATAGAGACTTTTTTTTTAGTCAGCTTTTTCACTGACAAATGACCTGGCCAGCACTGTAGAGGAACAGTTTATTTGAGAGCTCACGGTTTCAGAGGTCTTAGTCCATAGAAGGCTGGCTCCATTCCTGAGGCTCCAGGAGAGGCAGAACATCAGGGCACAAGAGTGTGGCAGAGGGCTGCAGCTCACATGGTGATCAACAACCAGAGAGAGAGACTCCCTGCTCCAGATACAAATATATACCAAATCCACACCCCAATTTCCACCTCCTCCAGCCACACCGTACCATTTCAATTACCACTCTGTAAATCTATCAGGATATTAAAACACTGATTGGGTTAAGACTCTGACAACCCAATCATTTCTCTTCTGAACCTTCTTGCACTGTCTCACACGTGAGCTTTTGAGGGACAGCTCAGGTTCAAACCATAACAAGACTATATACCTGATATATGTTCAACTCTCTCTAGAGGCTGTGAAATGTCTTGGAGAGTCCTTTGATATTTTGTTTGACACAGGATTGCTCTTCAACATTGACACATGCACTAAGTGGCACAGTATTATGCGGATGAGAAGGTCAATATAAAATGAGGTCTTCAGCTACTGTGTTTGGAAGGAGAAACTGAAATAGATGAAGTATTCTCTATTGTTTTATGCAGGTATATGTGTTTGAAGAAATAAATTGAGGTAAAGAGTAGTAAATGTACTCTTAAAATTGGGTCATATGAGCAAAAGAAAATGTTGTTGTAGACATTTCTTAGAAATTATTTCATCATCAAAGACCTTTAAAAGTGGAGAAAAATTTTAAAATATGTATGCTTTAGGCCTAGTATCATTTGCTTTAAAGATAAACACCTGAAGATAGAGGCTTAACTTTACCAGAGAACCTTTAGTTTCTATATTTTGATGAGGACCAGTAGTTAATCTTTCTATAAAATATATCATATTTTAGTTTTGGCAGATTCTGAAAGCCAAAGCTGCTGTGTTAATGAACAGAAGAAAGATTTGGATCTCTTGTTAAGCAACGTACTGTAAACAATTAGTTTAACTGAAACATGTTTTCCCTTTTGTAGACATCAGGAACAAATGGCCAGATGTGCCCATTAAACCAAACTGGGAACAACTAGGGATTAGAAATTTCTGGAGGTCTTTCACCATGCCATCAAAGTTTCTCTCTCTCTCTCTCTCTCTCTCTCT